GACCCCGCCCACAGGCCCACCCCTAATCCCAGAGACATGCTCCTCTATCCAGATCCCACCCACAGCCCCGCCCCTGATTCCAGAGACACGCCCCTTCTACCCAGCCCCCTCTCCCTCCAGCACCGAACACCCCCACTCCCGACGCAGCCAGGTGAGGCAGGGGCTGCGATGGGGCGTCACCTACCGAGGCTCAGGGCCGATTTCATTTCCCTCCACACCACGTACTGGATGGGCCCCTTGAACTGGCCCAGGCTGAAATCTCGGGGTGCAGGCAGTGGTGCCCCTTTTTCCTCCCCGGGGCAATGCCTGGGGGGGCAAGGAGCAAAGGGGTTACGAGGACACAGACGGGCCGACCCCGAGTGGACAGACCCTGCCCAGACCTGTGTCCCTCAGCAGGGCGATGATCCCAGGATACAGGGCGGGGGGAGGAGGGCGGGGGACACTCACTTTTCCAGGAAGCTTTTGATGTCCTGTGAAAAGAGAAAGTGCATAAGAACATAAGAACGGCCGTACCGGGTCAGACCAAAGGTCCATCTACTCCAGTATCCTGTCTACTGACAGTGGCCAATGCCAGGTGCCCCAGAGGGAGTGAACCTAACAGGCAATGATCAAGTGATCTCTCTCCTGCCATCCATCTCCACCCTCTGACAGACAGAGGCTAGGGACACCATTCCTTACCCATCCTGGCTAATAGCCATTAAGGGACTTAACCACCATGAATTTATCCAGTTCTCTTTTAAACCCTGTTATAGTCCTACCCTTCACAACCTCCTCAGGCAAGGAGTTCCACAGGCTGACTGTGCGCTGCGTGAAGAAGAACTTCCTTTTATTTGTTTTAAAAGTAGCCATGGGAGATGCAGACACAGAATGGGCAGGGGGCTGCGGGTCAGGAGTGAGGGGCACCGGCAGAGCTGGGGGGGGCCGAGGGCTGGGCTAGCAGGGGCTGTGGGTCGAGGAGTGAGGGGCGACCGGCAGAGCGTTGGGTGGGGCGAGGGCGTGGGTCTTACGCCGAGGGGCGTGGTCGGGTCGAGGGTACGTTGGACGGGGCCACCCGGGTC